GAAGTGGTCTAGTTGTTCAACAGATGAATGGAAAAGAAAATGTGATATTTATACGCAATTGTGTATTACTTTGCCAAGAGAAGTATAAACGAGTCATTTGTAGGAAAATGGATGCACCTTGAGACCATAATGTTATGCAGTTGCATGATTTCTCTTATCTGAGAATCCCAAAATATACATAAAGAGTAAAATAAAGCTAAATAGTAGGAAAGAAGGAGATAGACTTTTTGCGAAAGAGAAGGGGGTATTAAAACAAGGCTTCTCTGAGTCCCAATCTGTGCTCTTAGATAGCAAAATAAAAAAACAGGATGGTATTCAAGAGGGAGAACACAAATTATTAAATAGAGATGGGGGGTGAAAAGAATTGAGACGTGCTTTGTGTGTGTACCAGCTCCCCATGAGGGAGGTAATTGTTACAGATCCCAAACATGCACTGATAAAAATAAAAATGACAAAAGCCCAAGAAATGTAACGGGTTATCTTTGGTGGTCTAAAGTCACTTCATCACAGCTCTGCCCTCCACGTACGGACACGAAGGCAGGAAGATCTAGGGGACTCCCTGGGTCCAGCCTTTAGTCTGGCAGGGATTTTAAAAAAAACAGTTCAAACTCCCATGTTATAAACAGGAAAAGGAAAGCCCAGGAGGCGGAGTTTCTCCTGCTTGAATTCGAGGGGAAAAAGCTTGAAGTCAGAGAACATTTGGAAGAAATCAGGAGTCTCAGAGTAAAGCTGTCTTGGAAAGAGACACAGAAGGTAATTTCAGAGGCTGGAAGAGATACAGTCTTATCTAAGGCAATTAGGGAAAACAGGCACTGCAAGGCTTGTGCTCCTTGGGTGTGGGCCAACTCGGAAATAGCAAGCTTTTAGAAACCCACAACCAAATCAGGACCGAGAAAGTAGGCACTGCCGCCTCCCAAGGAAGAGCTTGGGGCGCAGCACAAGATACTTGTTTTTATACTGAACATGGGAGGGACAGAAAAGCAAAACAAGATGTCAGGTAGGGGGCTCTGAGTCCAGTTCAAGGGCCCGGGAAATCCGATTTCCTTGATTTTGTGAATTTTCCCAAGGGCTTTTCGTTTACTCGGCCTCCTAAACTTTTAAAATCCTGCTTATACGTGTCCTCTCAGCAGAGTTTCCCATAGAGATGGACGGAGGCGTTCACATCCTCCTAGCAGACAAACTCAATCTGAACCCATGGTGTCATACCGCCCCGTCCCTCTCCCCTACCTACTCCGTTTCCCTTTCTCCTCTTAGCTCTTTCTTACCTGCTCCCCCTCTTCCTCCTCTTCCAGAAGTAAAAACGGCAAAGTATGGATCCTTTTCCTGATCTCAGGCACATCTTCTCTGGTCCCCTGGTCCCTGCTAAGACCAGTCCCTTAACATTTATTCTCTCCCTACTTTCCCCCACCAGATGGCTCCCTCCTGTCCTAAGTAGAATTGTGGGGACCACCTGTTATGATCTTTTATTTATTTATTTATTTATTTGCACTGAAATCCTCCTGCTTCAGCCTCCTGGAAGGCTGGGATTATAGGCATGAACCACCCATGTTTAGCAAGATCTTTTTAAAAAAGTCTCTGTGTGTGTGTGTGTGTGTGTGTATGTGTGTCTTTACACAAGATTGAACATCTTTGACGTTTAAGGATAGTACCTGATCACATTGGAGATATATATAAACTACTCTGCTTCATGTGGAACTTTATTACCGTAAGTAGCAGTAATGGAGATTTACGATATTTATAAAATCTTCTTAAGTCCTGGAAATTGTAAAGCATGAACAATCAAATCTAAGCTTTCACCTCATCTTCTGCCAGTCCCTCGCAGCACACAGTGCTGAGATGAAGCGAGTTGTAACTAAGGTTGTAACTAAAGCAGCCCCCGGGGATCTTGTCTAGAACTGAAAGCAGAAGAGAAAATCAGCTTCCCTTTCAAACTCACACCTATTAAATAACGGAATGCATGCAAGCTCACAGCCACATGTGCAAATTTGAAAATACTTCCCTGAGGACATTTCTCTTTGCAGCAGAACCCCCTAAGGATCGGGCAAAGGGGAGATGACCTCCTTGCCTGATAGCCAGGATCCTGGGACCCCGGGAGATGCGTCTTTGTCCTGTATGACTCTGCTCTTTTTCTCTTCCAGGTCTTTCCATTTGACAAAGCTTTAGTGTCTCCAACTGTCACCCATACCCTTTTCCCAGGATAGGAGGAGTGTTCCGGCTTAGACAATCTCCCAGTCAGGGCTGGGGGACATGTCACTTATCTTGCCTTTAACCCCAGCCTCCCCAAGTTATACCTGAAATCTCCCTCTCATCCCTGTCAAAATGACACGGACCTTTCCACTGAGTGAGCACCTGAGTTTCTCCAAGGGAGTCACACTTCGGTTGTGTCTACGCTGCTGCTGCCCAAGTCCTGCTCATTCTTCTGGGGACCCCAAAGTGGCCCCTCCATGCCCTTTTCCTCTTCCCCCAGCTCACAGCCAGCATGTCTCCGCTGTCACAATCATCTTGTGTCACCTAGGCTTCCTGTTTCTTCCAAGATCTGTGACCTACTACAAGAGGACAAACTGCAACCAAAGGAGGGGACCTGAGCCACACTCAGCCCTGTACCTCAGACAGCCAGGTGGGTCACAGGGAAACACATCCTAGGCACGCATCAACGATGACAGCATATTTTGGGGGGAGTTAATTATGTTTTATGCTCTTTCTCAAAACTATTAGCATGTGCACTGTTATAGGTAGCATATACACAAAAACAATGCAAGTGGACACATTGTCATTACGTATTTTATTTCCTGACAGCTAATTGCTTTCTATCATGGTTTCGTTTACCTGGTTTCCCTTTCAGCCTTCATCAGCACCATGTTTTCACTTTTTAATTTATAATAAATACTTCAACTCAAGCAATCTGCTAGCATGTGACAGATGGTTAATTAATGTCAAAGTCTCCTAAAGATGGCTTCTGGTTAGCCTTTGATTTTGTGGAGTTATGTTTTTTTTTGGGGGGGGAGGATTAGTTTTTTTTTTTTGAGACAGGGTCTCACTGTGCAGTTCTGGCTGCCTTTGAGCTCACTTTGCAGCCCAGGCTGGCCTCGAACTTGCAATAATCCTCCTGCCCCAGCCTCCTGAGTACTGGGATTACAGGCATGCACCACCACGCCCGGCTTGTTTTTTGTTCTTCGAGACAGGGTTTCACTATGTAGTCCAGGCTGATCTTGAAATTGCTAGGTGTGTAGCCCAGGCTGGCCTCAGACTTGCAGTGGTCCTCCTGCTTCAGCCTCCCCAGTGCTACCACTCCCGGTTATTGGGTTTTGTGTTCTGTAAGCGGGAGGAATGCCTGATTGTGCTGACGACCTGTAAGCGTGTATCATCATCAACTCTGAGCCTTCATTTAATGGCCATTTTCGCATGGACTTCTACCCTGGCCGGGGGGAGTGTAAACCAAGCAGGAGCGCTTCCTAACGGCTGCATGATAAGCCTCATAAAGTTATTTTTTGCAATTAATGGTTTCACCGACAATTTTACTGTTTCTCTCGAAGCTACCTCATTCCCTGGGGCCCCTGCACACGAGTCTATAATAAGCCTCCTCAGTCCGACAAAATTGGCCTCAGAATACAGTCCGCTCTATTTTAAAACCCTCATCTCTAGCTCTCTTATTTTCCTAATCTTTATTTTTGGAACATAACACTTGAAAATACATTTAAGCGGAGAGTAATAACGCTTTAAGGCAGAGCTATAAAAGTGATTTATTCATGAGTGTCACACTCCTCTCCCAGCTGACGTGCACCTGACGTTCCCTTTCGTTGAGCAGACTCCATGGCCCTTCACTAAATCTTTACCTCTGTACAGGAACTTTTTATCCCACCCGTACTGTCTGCTACTTCGCTCCAGAGTCTCACAACGAGCTAGAAGGGACCCGCCGGGGGTCAGAACCACATTTTGGGAAGTTGTGCTATGAATCGATAATGTTCCCTTGTCGCTGTTACTGGCTGTATTAGGCACTCAATTCACTGTTTTTTAATTAGAGAAAGAAGAGTTCTTAATTTATCGTTCCGCAGTCACTCCTAATGTGCTTTCCTAATCATTCTCATGCTGGCGGCATGAGCTCTGGGAAGCTCGCCTTCCTCTAGGCTGGGGAACCTTTACTCCAGAAGTGATTTTTGGTGGCTCCCATCCCTGTCTCAAAGGATACAGCAAAAGAAAAAAACTAGCAATGAAAGTACTCCCTCTATATTGTATGGTTTTCAGAGCAGCTCCATCCCCCTCTGCTCACCCAGTTTCTTAAAAGCAAAGATGAGAGGACAGAGACTCAGAAAGATTAAATAAAGGGCATCTTCAGGGACTCACAGTTGTCCCTGGATCAGTCAGTGTCAGAGACCAGACTTTAAATAATCACGGGATGATTCTGATTTGAAAAACAAATTCAATTTCCCAAATAGGATTAGCAATGCTGCAATTTTCCTAAACGGTTATGGTGATGAATCTTTTATAAGCAATACTTACCAGGGACTGTGCTTTTCTTAGCCTAGCTCGGTCCTGCAGTTTGTTTTTCTTGTCGTGGGACTGTTGGCTGAAATCTGGGCTCATTTCATGTCTTTTCCTTCTTCTGTAAATTGGAAGGCAGTGGAGAGAATTATAAATTATCATTTTACACTTTTGGCGGTATATATAGCTATTTGTTCACTTGACTTCTTTGCCCCTATGACTTAAAAGACTGTCTGCATTCAACTGGAAATAAACCAAATGTCTATCAATAGAGAACTGGTTGAATAAGCTCTGCCATAGCACACAATGGAGTACTATGAACTGTAAAAAGAAAGGCACAATATTTCTATAGATGACTTCAGAGGGAGCGCCAGGATATAACGTTACAGGAAAAAAGTGGATAAAGAAAGGTGAATGCATTACTATACGCTACTCATTTCAGAAAGAAGATTCCAAAAAGTACCTATATATGCATATATGTGTGTGTATATTTGATTGTACTTTGATTTTTAAAATTATTATTATTTTATTTTATTTTATTTTATTACTATAATTTGTGGTCCTGGAGACTGAACCCACATAACATTAAACTACATCCCTAACCATTTTTATTTTTTAAGTCACTAAATTGCCCAAGCTGGCCACAAACTTGTGACCTTCTTCCTTCAACCTCCTAAATACCTGAGATTTCAGGCATGCCCCACAATGCCCAGCTAGATCTAATTTTTGTTTTTTATGGTACTGGGAATTAGATCCAGAACCTTGCACATGCTAGGCAAGCAATCTACCAGTGAGCTATACCCCCAACTCTCTGTTTAATGAAAAATATTTGTTTTGAGACAGAGTCTTGCTATGGAGCCCAGGCTGACCTCAAATTTAGTCTTCCCACCTTAGCCTCCCAAATCGCTGGGATTACAGATGTGCACCTCCCAGTGCCAGGCTGGTCTGACCTTTTTAACAGTCCACCCCATCCTCTCAGTTTCCTGGTCACAAGTGTTTGAGTCTCATAGAAAACTCAGGAGAAAGCTAAGTGTGGTGGCACACATCTGCAATCCCAGCACTTGGGAGGCTGAGGCAGGAGGATTGTTGAGAGTCTGAGGCAAGTCTGGGCTATATAATGAGTTTAAAGCCAGCCTGAATTACAGAGCAAGACCCTGTCTCAAAAGCAGCAACAACAACAAACACCTTAGAAGATCATCAGTTTATCTTAACAAATATGAGTATCTAGGTGTTCTTATCTCTCACTTACCCCCTCACTTTTGGAGAAGAGAAACACAAATCCTATGAAAAAGGGAGCGGCTATAATGAACCATATGGTGCTGGCTTGGAATTTAATATTAAAACATCAAGCGAGACTACCATAGTAAGTAATTGCAGCTATAAAGTGCAAATAAATCATGATTCAAAGGGCAAATTTCCTAAGAATGGTTAGTTTACTTTTTCAATAGCTTCTTGCTTCTGTGTTGAAAAAGCCTTTGTGCTTCACAGCAAGTTTTATTTTCATCTCCTCATCTACTGAAATGCCCATAAATTGTTCTGAACAAAAAGAAGTGGAGAGGATGCGGGGCTTCTTACCCTTGGGAGCTGGGCTGGAAAGGGTCACAGTTGTCCAGATAATTAAAACGAATAATATCCGTTGGATGCTTGTCAGAGGATCGCCAGGGTGGAAGCTCTCTCTCCCCTGGGTTATTCTTCTTTCTTGTGGAGGAGGACCGGAAAGGGGACTGCTTATCCCCTGGAGAGCTGCTTGCAACTGGCTGAACATTGGGGATTACAAAGCCATCTTTTGGAGGTGTCTAGGGGAAGAAAATGTATTATTTCTGTTTCCAAAGCACTATGCTCATAATGACAACAACAAAACAAACAATACTGTCATCAGCATCGCCATCTCATCACCATGGCAACAAGAATGGTGATGATCATGGCAGCTGGTGCCCCAGAGAACTGACCGTGCACCGGGTGATCTTGAGCAGTTTTCATGCATTATATTATTTAACCTTCACAGTATCTTTATATTCATCATTGTTACTGCTATTTCATAGGAGAAGAAACTGAAGATGAGAGAAACTGACTAATCTGCTCACTATAGCCTAAGTAGAATTTGAATTTGAATCCAGGACTATCTTCCTTTGAACCCATACACCAAACCTCCTTATGCCAGCTTTGCTACCATATCATTGTCTACTTAGTCATTTCATTCCTCAAAAAGATGCAGTTCCAAAGAACAAAAGGGGCTGGGGATATAGCTCAGTGGCACAAGCGCCTGCCTGGCAAGTGCAAGGACCTGAGTTTGATTCCTGGTACCAAAACAAAAACAAAAACAAAAACACCAAAGAACAAAAAAGGTGCTCCAGCCCAAAGGTCGCTAACATAAATTTTGAACCAAATAGGGATAGATTATGCATTTCATCAGTTATCCAACTCAACCATTCCTAAAGGAAATTTCTGCTTAATTTCTAAAATCAAAAGCCTGTTTTTTTGTGTGTGAAATTCATATAGTTTATATGTATGTGGTTATAGCCTAAGGGAAATGGTACTGGTATGTTGGGATGCCATTAAGAGCTTAATTTTTGTTCATTAAGAGATTAGGGAAGCTTTACTTGGTAAATTGGTTGGTTTCAATTGTGTGTGAAAATCCAGAAATTCCCCAGTTGTGGCCTGGGGTGTAGCTCAGTGCTAGAGCCCAGGCTTGCCATGTGCCGGGCCCCAGGTCCAAGAGAGAGAGAGACAGAGACAGAGACACAAAGGAAAACAGAGACAGAGACACAGAGATAAAGGAGAGGAGAGGGGAGGGGAGAGGAGAGGAGAGGAAGAAGAGGGGAAGGGAGGTGGGGAGGGGACAGGAGGGGAGTAGGGGAGGGGAGAGGAGAAGGAAAGGAAGGAAGGAAAGATGAAAAAAGAAAGGAAAAGATAAGACAAGACAAGACAGGAATTCCCCAGTCCTCCATTGTTTTAACTGCCTTTTGTACCCATTTGTATTACAGGACACTACGTCCATCGTAGCATTCAGTGTTGCGATTCCGGCTCTGTTTATCTGTGTCTGTCCCAGACCACTACACTAGACCTGGGAAAACAGATTAGGATCTCTGTACTCTAAGCACCTTGCATACAACAGTGTATAATAAATATTTACTCACTTAATGATTGATGATAGCCTAACTGCAGATGAAGAAGATATTCTATACTAATATAATTCAGTATTTCTGGCAGGTCTCACATAGAATGGCCATTCATCTCATTTCTCTAAGCCTGTTTTACAGAAATAATAATCTGTTTTTTGCTGGAAGAGGCCTAGTTTAATACTACTAAAAATACATAATGCATAGTAATATAAAAAGTATTTCAAACCAGGCATGGTGGTGCACACCTGTAATCCTAGCACTCAGAAGGCTGAGGCAGGAAGATCGTTTTGAGTTCGTGGCCAGCCTGGGCTACAACGTGAGCTTAAGGCCAGCCTGAACTGCATAGCAAGACCCTGTCTCAAAAAGACAAAAGAGTAAAAATAAATAAATAAATAAATGGAAGTATTTCAGAGGAAAATACTCAGATATAAATGCCAGTAATTATACATAAGAATGATTAATTCTTGCTGAATATGGTGGCACATGCCTATAATCCCAGCTACTTGGGAGGTTGGGGCAGGAGAATCACAAGTTTGAAGTCAGCCTGGGCAATTTAGCAAGATCCTGTCTCAAAATAAAAAATAAAAAGAGCTGGGGCTATAACTCAGTTATAGAGTGCCCTTGGATCCAATCCCCAGTGCTGAAAAAAAATTTGGAATGTACAAAATAGGTAATAAGGAAATCTGTGATGATTTCTTTTTTTGAGACAGGATCTCACTATGCAGTTCAAACTGGCCTTGAACTCAATATGTAACTCAGGCTGGCCTCAAACTCATAGCAATCCTCCTGCATCAGCCTCCAGACTGCTGGGACTAAGGCGTGTGCCACCAAGCCCAGCCATATATTCAATTTTAAACCAACACAGGTTTATTCGTGTTTTCCATTGTTAATTGAATAGTTATGGTAATTTGTGTTTTTCAAGGATTTTGTCCTTCATCTAGGTTGTTGAATTTAGTTACAATAAATTATTTATAATAAATCTCACTATATTGCCCTGGTGGTCTTGAATTTGAGATCTTTTGTGGTTGGTTTTTTTTTTTTTTTTTTTTTTTTGGTTTTTCTCTGGTACCGGGAACCAAACTCACGACCTTGCACTTGCCAGGCAGGCGCTTTGCCGCTGAGCTAAATCCCTAGCCCCTTGAATTTGAGATCTTCCTGCCTCAGCCTCCTGAGTGCTGGGATTACAGGTGTGTGCCACCACACCCCACTTAGTTGATTTTCTTAACCTTAGCTTTCCTAATTTAGCTCTAGTTCTTTAATAGGAAAAAAAAAAACCAGTTTCATATAGCAATGTATCCACACAGAAACGGAATACACATCAAGAGGTGGCAGTTGTCACGTATCTAAACTACCCATTATTTTTAAGCATAGTTACACATCAGTGTTTTGTGGAAAGAGTTGTTTCTGAAGACAAAGCATAAAATTGGTTTTATGTGTTATACTCAAAATCCCTTCGCAGTCTACTAGCTAATTGCATTTCTCTCCCCACCTCAGGGCAGCCTGAGCTTCAGCTACTGACAGCTACTCCCTGTGGCCTACCTGAGAATGAGACTCCAGAAAAGCCTAAGGAAGAAAGGAGTCCTATCTATGGTAATTTTGAAAAGGACTTCTAAAATTCTGCATCTAAAATGATGTTTTTTAGCAGGTGGTAGTACAACACTTGAAATCCCAGCTACTCAGGAGGCTGAGAAGGACGACTGTGAATTCAAGGCCAGCCGGGGCAACATAGCAAGATCCCCTTTCAAAAACCATTTTTTAAATAAATAAAAAATTATCTTAAAAAAACAGCCTCATGAGGCACACCAGCTACTGACATCAGAAAGCCTAGTTTTATTGTCGCAATTATAACAGTATTAATTATGCATAGTTTATTACTACAGTAAGTGTAGATAGAATCTACTTCAAGAAAGTACAATAAAATCCAAACCTAAATAAGCAGGTTAGGAGTTGATTATTCATATTTCAAAAAGGTTGTTCAATTTTAAAAGGATTCCCTGCAGTTTTTTAAACAGACCATGACACCCTTGAGGTTTAAAATTATTTTAAAAATTAATTCACACATAACTTTTCAGGAGCTCATCTATTTCACAAAATGAGGCATAAGAATGCATGTTTTTAGATAATACCATAAAAAAAGACACACAAAATTTTCTGATAAATTATCTGGTTAGCTATGACTGTAAATGTGAAAATAAATATGGTTATAATGCATTGAAAGCCACTAGAAAAAATTATTCTCCCATTATTTACTTTTTTGTGATTTCATGTAAATACCTTGCATTGCTTAGTATCTAACTTTTTATTTTTTTATTTATTTTATTTTATTTTATTTTATTTTATTTTGTCTGTGTGAGACAGGATCTCACTATGCAGTTCAGGTTGGCCTTGAGCTCACTTTGTAGCCCAGGCTGGACTCAAACTCATGCCTCCTGCCTCAGCCTCCTGAGTGCTGGGATTACAGGAGTGCGCCACCACGCCCAGCCTAATTTTTTAAAAAGATGTTTAATTACACTTTTATTATCACCTTCCCTTAACTAATGACTTCATTGAAAAACTGTCCATTATAAATGATACAAAAATAAAATTCAAGCTGGGAGTGGTGGTATATGCCTGTAACCCCTGTACCCTTCAAGGTTGAGGCAGAAAGATCCTAAGTTTGAACCTAACCTGGGCAATTTAGCAACTTAGTGAGTCTCTGTCTCAAAATAAAAAAGGGCTGGGCATGTAGCTCAGTGCAAAGGCCCTGGGTACAGTCCCCAGTACCATAAATAAGTAAACAGATAAATAAATAAACAAGCAAATAAATAAATTCTGAGCTGACAGCTCAGTAGTACAGCACTTATCTAGCATTAGTTCCAATCCCAGCATTGAAAGAGATAAATAAAGAAAAGTTAAAACAGTATAATAGATATAGTGATGCCAGGCATGGTGGGCACATGCCTGTAATCCCAGCACTCAGGAGGCTGAGGCCCGAGGATTGTTGCAAGTTTGAGATCAGCCTGGGCTACAAAGTAAGCTCAAGGCCAGCCTGAACTGCATAGTGAGACCCTGTCTCAAAAAGACAGAAAAAAAAAAGATATAGTGAAAGGGAAAGAAACAGCTCAAAAGAAAGGAACAACTGGGATGGGGGAAAAGAGAAAAGAGGGAAGAGGAAAAAAGTATATATACACAAGATAGCAAAGAGAATTGTGCTACTAATTTCTATGAGTTCATTGAAAGGAACAGTTAGTGCTTATATTGTTTGATCAATTTTGCATGCCTGTATCTGGTAACCTGAGCAACTACTTGGAAGATAACAATGTGCAGTATATTAACCATTGTTAATTTCATGTCATCTTGTTTTGCAATTTTGTATCATCTTTATTGTTTTTCCCTCTCTTTAAAATAAAAAAAGTTAAAAACAAACTCCACGTCACCTTGTAGGATCACAGAAAATTTGAACTAGTAAAGTAAAATATGATGCTTATAGGTAACAAATACTGCACATCACCCCCACGGTTCCTGGGTCAGATTGTATCGAAACTAGAAAGGACAGACGTCAGGGGCCAGGACAGAGGGATGCTGCCATAGGCTGCCCTCCTGGATTCAGCCATGGGCTGAAGGAGGCAGATGAGGGTTCTCAATCAACACAGGCATCTGAAAAAGGGCTTTGGCGCCTCAGAAAAGGAGCATTTTGAAATAACAGTGGAAGGAAACATCCTTTGAGCTATCTCCTTTCCTCAGCTTCGGGTTCCATCATTTATTCTTAGTTCCAGAATGTATTACAGCTGATGTTTATAGGTGTGCTGCACTTTCTCCCAAGTGTACCTTGGGCCTGGTGACGTGAAGCTTTTTCACCATGTGAATATAGTGCTTCTTCCATATCCCCTGCTCGAAAGGACTCGGGGAGAAATTGATGTACCAGTTAAACCGTAAGCATTTCAGCATCCACAGCTGGTCCAGCTCTGCTAAGTTCTTCCAGTGCCAGCTCACCTGGGGAAACAATGGCAATTAAAAACAGAAACGCCCTCTCAGTTCACATGCCCACTTGCTCTAGGTTCCGGGCTGTCACTCTGTTTTTTTTTCGGTTTTTCTCCGGTACCGGGAACCGAACTCACAACCTTGCGCTTGCCAGGCAGGCGCTTTTGCCGCTGAGCTAAATCCCCAGCCCTCCGGGCTGTCACTCTGAGTGTGACACTTTTTTTGTCATTTCCCTCCAAATCACAGATTAGTTACCTCCTAGCTGGAGTGGGGTTACTTTAAATGCTAATTCAGACTTAGACTCATTGTCTACCAGTATTACTGGGCACCTATTAACCATCCTCATAGCAATCTAGGGAGATGAGTATAATTGTTACTCTCATGTTGCAAATGAGGGCACTTAGGCTCAAAGAGAATTTCAAGCTCCCTAAGGAGTCCTGAAAGTCATACGAAAGTTAGGTGAAGGTTGCTTAAACTCAGCTCTGCGCGTTGCTATTCATTTCATGGTATGCTTCCTTTTTCCTCTGTTCTCCAATTTCTTTGAACACAAATTTTATAAATGGAACACAACTATCAATACTATTCGGCATGTGAATCCATGTCCTTAGCATTTTGGCTGATCCCACACATCTGGAAAATGGGGGAGGTGGCCCTACCATGTTCAGGAGCATTTACAACCATTATCCCAGGTTTTGAGTAGGTCTTGCCAGGAACCAAGGTCAAATGTGTATATAAAGTTGAGACTAGTGATTCTGCTGCTGAGTTGTAAAAGTCGCAAAATAATATCTAACTCTCAAACCCAAATTTCACCCTTGAAGATTGGGCTCTTTTCAAGATTAGTTACTTAGTAACTGTTAAATGCCTTTCAAAAATCAGACTGTTTTTTATAATGGCCCTTGTTATCCATATGTGTGTGTGTATGCATGTGTATAGTGTGTGTGTGTGTGTGTGTGTGTGTGTGTGTGTGTGTGTGTGTGTGTGTTTTACTGGGAATTGAGCCCAGGACAGGGTAGCTAAGTCACCCAGGCTGGGCTTGAACTTTTCATCCTCCTGTCTCAGTCTCACAGAATTCTGGGATTACAAGTGTGCCACCATGCCCAGCTTCATACATCCACTTTTCTGTCCTTCTCTTTGCCCCTCCTTCCATCCACCGTTTATTGAGTTCTAGCTACGTCCAGTACTGTGATATGTGCTGAGGATGGAAGATTAGGGAAAGAGGAGCGCACAGTCAGGAGAGAAAAGGTCCAGCTGGAAGGCTGACACATCGTGCACACAGACCATGGGATCCGCTGTTCCAAATCCTGTTTCTCTCCAACTGGAAAATCCTGAGTTGCTTTAAGAAAAGCAACACCGATCACCTCATCAGTCAGAGATGACCCTTGCTGACAAACCAGTACGAATTGTTTTGTTTTCAGTTTTTGTTTTTTAAAGCCATGTATGAAACAAAACAGGGAAAGTGTACACACAATGAAAACTTGCCTTCTTCATTTAAATGTCACGGGAGCTCTGTGCTCCCCCAACATTTCTAATCATGTAGCTGTATGATGCCCCTATGACCAAACATTTATTTTTTATTTATTTATTTGTCTTTTTTTGAGGGAGAGTCTCACTATGCAGTTCAGGCTGGCCTTGAACTCACTATGTAGCTCAGGCTGGTCTTGAATTCAGGACAATCTTCCTGCCTCAGCCTCCCAAGTGCTGGGATTACAAGCGTGCACCACCACGCCCGGCTTACTGAACATTTAGATCACTATGTTCTTTTAAACGTTTATGTCTTTTTTAGAACCAGTAATACGTGTACAGTAATATAAAATTCAAAGAGACAAAGGAACACATGGTAAAATATGTCTTTCTCCTATCCCTATCCTCCACTTATTCGTAGCTCTGTGTACAACTGCTTTGCCAGCTGTTTATAGGTCAGCCCAGAAATATTCTGGGCAAATATTAACAAAGGCATATCTTTTTTTCTTTCCAAAATAGCAGAACTTTCCTGTTCTGCAGCTTTGCTTTTTTTTTTTTTTTTTTGGTACAATATTGTGGCAATCATTGCAATTAATTTACCCTGTCCCCAACCGGTGGACTTTTCTATTGTTTGCTACCTTCTGCTATGACAAATGGAGTTGCAATATTCTTATAGAGAAATAATTTTAACACATTGTGAAGTATACCCATCTGACAAAGAGACCCACCAGACAGTGGGATGGCTGTGCTAAAATGAATTCTTTTTCTTTTTTTGATACTAAGAATTGAACTCAGGACCTCATGCTTACAGGCTGGTTCTGTGCCCCTGAGCTATATCCCTGGCCTAAAAGGAATTCTTATTGAAAAATATATCACTACCCAGTTGCTCTCGATGGTGGTTGCACTAGTTTGTCTACCAGCAGTGCGTGAGAGTTCTTCTTTCCTCCAGCTCTTACCAATGCAGAATACGATCATTAACAGAAAGCCAACCTGAGCTATTAAAAATGGCAGTCAGGAGGCCAAGGCATCCCACAGAAGGCAGAGACACCCGCGTTTCTTTTTTTGTGAACTACTTGTTCATTTTCTTTCCTCATTTTTTGATGGGTTAAGTATTTTCTCTTTTTTTCATATATATTTACAGAAATTATTTTTTAAAATAAGGAAATAGCCCTTTGGTTGCAATACATATTTTCCCTGCCTACTGGTTGATTCATGGTGTTTTCTTCCATGCAGAATATTTTTATTTTTATAGTCACAATTTCAGCTCTTGCTGCTGTCATTCCTGTTCATGACATCGAAAATGAATAAAGCAAGGCTAGAAATTGCACATTTTCCTTTAGGCTTCTGGATATTGTAGAATACTCATAAAAGCCTCTTGCCCTGTGGGTTTGTTTTTTTTCTTTTTGAGTGCTTGGATGGCTTCCTTTGGTGCGATATAAATCTTCTCTACTATTGGCGTTTGTTTTCTATGCACCTGCCCAGGTATCCCAATGCCATTTGCTTCTGACTGCATTTATTTTCTTAATGTTAAAAACCACATTATTTCTATGTGGATGTATAGTAGCAGGTAATAGCTGGTTTGACTAAACTCTAGGAAAAGACTCAGCCAGGTGTGACAGTACACACCCATAATCCCAAGACCCTGGGAGGCTGAGGCAGGAGAACTTCCAGTTTGAGCCCAGCCTGGGTATGTAGCAAGACCTTGTCTCAAAAATTAAAAGAAAAAAAAAATCATGTGGGGAAGTAGATTGGTTTGAAGGCCCTGGGGATCAATCCCCAGTACTAGAGCAAAAAAAAGAAAAGAAAAAAAAAACTCATCAAAAATGACTATCAGATTTATAGCTTAAATAATTTAACTTTGCTTTACTATGTTACAGAGTTATTCTTAAGAAAATAATAGCCATCACGTTGGTGTGCTCACCTGGGTCTCTTCTGTGTTGCTCATGTCTGCAGGCACCTTATTTTGAGGTTTTCTATTCATGGTGGCCTGTAGTCTGCAATTTAGGATTGCAGCAGTATGCCATGCAATAAGAGACCGTCCTGCCGAGGAACCACTGCTAATGGGCATAGGCATCTCCCCACTAGCTAATACTCTTCTGGGGACAACACTGGTGTCTTATGCTTTTCCTTCCTTTGAACACTCAACCCAGTGAGATACAATGGAGGTGAAGATCTTTTAGCCTCTCCAGACTCAACAAATATTGCCTGGCTTTATGCACGTCCTTGTGTGAGTTTCGCCCTCAAGTCCCTGGACTTTCAGAGTTTCCAAAGGCTGTGTTTACAAAATGCCACACCTCACCTGGGCACAGCGACAAAGGCTTCGGGGGTCCAGGAAGGAAAAGATGTACACAGACAACACCCTGGGGAGCTTGGTAGTAAAATCTAGGGCTTCTGCTGGGATCTTCTCCTGAAGCTTTCGACAGCAGAACTTCTGCTGGGACAGCGAGCAGCGCTCCAACAGGCCAGTAAGGATTCTCCTCCTTTGCGAGTCTGTCCATTTGTCAAACTGGAAAAACACAGCAAGACACAAAGAGCTTCGGGTTTAGCTTGACAGCAGAGATTCATTATAGGGATATAATTTTGTCCTTTGTTTCCTGCATTCTTTCCTGTTTTTTGAGACAGGATCTTGCTATGCAGTTCAGACTGGGCTTGAACTCACTATGTAACCCAGGTGAGCCTCAATATCTCTGTGATCCTCCTGCCTCAGCCTCCCAAGTTGGGATTACAGGCATGCATCACCACATCCAGCTGAATTCAAGCCTTTTGAGAAGTCAGCTTCATTATAGTTGCATACTGTATTTTCATAATTAGTAGGAATATTTCTTAATTTATTTGCTATCATCAGTCTATTCAATGACCAATGAATCTCACATTGGAGACTGTAATTCAAGGATAAAAAACCTGAATAAAGTGAAAAAACAAAAACCTTCACTTCAAATACCACAGGAATAAAACCAATTCATGTGTGTGTTCCTTGATTTCTACACAACTCAGCTTCAATTCCTACAAGGGAGGCTTCTTTCCCAGTTCTTTTGGGATGGATTCCCGTGAGTAGAGAGATAACAGAGGATTAAGGCCAGGCAGAAGGAAGGACCGGGCCTAAGAAGCTGAAAGGGGAGGTTTGAGGAGATAGAATCCAAGCTCTAAGGCTTTACCTGATGAGAATTATAGGGTTCATAGCAACCATGATATTGCTTCGATAGGAAGTAGCATAAGAGAACTGGGGAAGGGGTGAAGATTTGAGGAATATTGTTATGAGTTCTGAACTGAACTCCTGTGGTTTTTCTTTGAGAAACAAAATGAATATTGGAATTAGGTTTTTAAAATTAATTTTGGGCAGATCTATATGACTCTGTAGAGACTGAGCTATATGGAGACCATAGATGGTAATGGTTACAAAGGTTTTTTTAATAAGATAATTAGTATCACTGTAAGAAATCAAAGATAGATCTTCGGGAAGCCTGGTGAATCTGGGCTCTGCCTCACTGACCAGTGTGCAAGGCAGGCGAAACCTCGGGCACTCTCTGGGGCCTTGGTGGCTACCTGCCACACCCATAGTGTGTCGGCCGC